GGGGGGGGAGTATACAGTCAACAATGAGTAGCTCTGAAAAGTTCAATAAAGTAAATAACGAGAAAAAATACACACAGCTTATTTATGTTGACTCAACTTTTCTTGAAATTGAGGAAGTGATTCACATTAAATTAACATAATTCAACTCTGAAAGTAAGTGTTTTAACCATTTTTGCAGAGTTGGACAAACTATTATTTTAAACCGGAATAAGTCGTCGGCTTTTCTTTGTTTATTAAATTAGGCCACATATGAGATTGAGAACGCACTATTGTGTTTTTACATCACAGCGTGCTCTGCAATCTCTGGTCCGGTCATCAACAGCGTTTTGAGGTTAAAGTTGCTGATATAATATTATACTGATATATATATATTGAGACAGAGAGTTTATTGTTTTGGACTAGTTCTTAATTCGTTGGCCTTAACCCTGGTTATACATTGTGATGTAATGTCCATACATTGGGGAGCATTTGACGTAGCATGCACATGACACCGCTCATGGGCTGACCACATTCACAATTCACTGATATAACTGCTTGTATAACAGAAATGGAAATGTGGAAACAGTGCAGGTATTGTAATGTAAAACACAATAACAGCAGTAACAATGCAGGAACACATACTCAATACAGACTCTTGTCCATGATTATGTTGCCCTGGTGCATTCTGGGAGGTTCCTCCTACACACCTATGTCAGGATACTGCAATATAAACTCATATAAACTTCATTTTTGATAGATTTTTTTATAGGATTTTTTAAATCATTGCCCTTAACTGCCAAATTTATTTAAATCAAATAACGTGGATTGTATTTAAAAACCTGATACAACAATAATGAATAAATAAAGAATAAATGACCAAGTTATTTTATAAAAAATGTAAGAGAAATGTATATACATGTAACAGCTGTGAGACGTTAATGAACAGCAACAGTGCGTAAGTGGAAAGAGGACAGTGCTGTTCACTGCACATGTCGGGGACATCTGTCTTACATTATGTAAGCAGATATCTGTTCTACTCTGCAGAGGAGCATTCCACATGGAGGTCACATAAAGAAGCCTGTCACTGTGTTTTAGGTTTAGGTTTATCTATTATCTATTATGTAAGACAGACACTGCAGAGCATAAATAACAGGATTCACTGCTAGCTTCACAAATACATGATTGTTAACTAGATTGTTGTTTTTTACAATGCCTCCAACAAGCCTAGGACATTAATGTTGTTTATGTATTATTCATATATTCGATTGGTTGGCAGTACTGTGGTATCAATCCTAAATGTATACAGTATGTCACAGTACACGCAGGGAGAGATTCATCATGGAATAATGTCATGTAATGAACATGATGTCATGTCTGACATACATTAACATATCTAGATGCTGAGTGCTCATTGGAGCTACTTTGAATTGAATTATAATTATAATAATTATTAGGTAATTGGTGGGAAATTCAGTTAATGTGAAAGGGTTTGTATAAAGCATTAGCTATTAGCCATTCTCCATGGTTACCAGAGTTGTCAATTGGCAGATTGGCCGGTTATGTCATATGATGTAAGTCAATCAACTGCCACAGCATGCTGAGTAACAATGACACAGCACAGGTAGAGTCAGGTGATGGAGCACAGTGCTTGAGCAGCACGTATTTATTGTTTAATATTCCATGGAATATAAAAAAGCATCTGAAAAAATATATTTACACAACACACACACACACTAATATAATATAAAGATATCAGAAAGGACACGTTTGAAGTCCCTGAGTTGTTTTCATTCCAGTTACAAAGTGCACAGTGTTGCAGTCGCAGCGGTCATTGGATCAGGTCTTCACCCTGACTGCTGTATCTGAAGGACTTTATTTATCCCTCCAGAGCGGCTCGCTGAGAGTTCAGTGATTCTCGGACGGATCGGACAGCTTAGATATAAATTGGTAGTGTTTAAGTCACAAGTGTCACTGCCTTATGAGGTAAAAGTTGATTTAAAAATGAATGATGTAATAACAGGATCATCAAGGATGTAGAATCTGTTGTTGAAAGCTGCCCTCAGCAGGGGACCTTCTTATGCTTTCTTATCATAGAACAGAGAAAACATGCAGCTAAAAGAACAACTTCTTCACACGACACTTTGCGGATCCCCTTTGGGCCTGAAGAGCAGCGGGCACCAGAAATGTGGCTGAAAAGAGAAGACAAACACCCTGAAGCATTACCCGAAGAGATGTACAAACGTCACCAGTGACGGACAGTAATGAATACCTTTAAATAGAGCGACGTGAGGCTGCAGTTGTCTTTCCCCTTCCTCTTTTTGCATCTCTTCCTCAGGATTTTGGCGTGCAGGTACTCCACTCTCTCCTCCGCGGCGCTGGGGAAGAATCTCTCGCAGACCATCAGCCTGAGCTGGCCCACTTTGGCAGCCATCAGAGCCATGATGAACAAGGTGAGCAGGATGGCAGCCAGAGGAATGACGGAGTTGTAGAGCAGCAGCTTGGGTTTAGGAAGGCATTCCTTCTCAAACAGGGTCACAGAGTAGGAGAAGTCTTTCTGATGGTTCTCCTCACCAAGCGGTATGCCTACTAGAGTCGCAATCCCCTGAGAGGACACAAGGATTCATATTCAGCGGCTGCCGGACTGCATGGGACAAATACTGTAAATGCAGAAACATATCAGAAGTTCTCTCACAAACACTTACTTTGATGCTCATTAATAACGGGACGTGGAACGGTTCCAGCTCTGATAACTTTCTTGTCACAATATCGACAAAGCAGTACAATAAGGCATCCACAGTTATGAATATGACCCAAGCCATGAAATGGGAGACAACCGGAACACCAAATTTCAGCATGGCTCGCCCCTCTCTGGTGGTGGGACGGGCCGAGGGGATGGCGGCGTACAGCTTCTCCTCCTCTGGCGTGAGGGGGAGGACGTGGGGCTTTCCTTCCACCTTCCGCCTCTCGTCGAAAACAATAAACTTGCTGCTCATGAACCGGTTTTGGTATTTGGCGTCACCGCAGTATTTCTTCACGTGCAGCGCTATGAAGAGCATGAGCACGAGGAAGCTGATGGCAGGAAACATCCTATCGGTCACAGAGGAGACTGTACTCATGAGGGCCTGGACATACTTCATGGTGTCGTTCAGCCTCTGCTCTGCTTCACTAAGTTTCCACCGGAACTTGTCTGATTCCAGTCTGGGTGACACCTTGAGTTGGGAGTCGAGGTTCACCACCCCTAAGTCTGTAACCCCCTTGAGCATGTTTCCCAGCCACTTCAACATCTCCACATAGCTACTGAACGGAGCGACGATGGCTGCTTTCTTGGCCTTTAGGTTGCAAATCATGCTCCGGACCAGGCCGGTGGTGTTCTCCAAGGTGTTGCGGATATTTCTAAGAACCACCAAACTGGTCCCAGCGGTCAGGAGCAGGTTCCGACTCTTCTTCATGAACATGGAGATCACAAATAGAATCCCAAAGCACCTTACTCTCTTTGATAGGAACAGGGCGACCGTCAGTAGTGCCTCTACGCAGACGGCAATCCCTCCGGCCACCGCCAGCTCATAGTTCAGGGGGAAGAGGAGGTACAGGAGGAGCAGGGAGCTGAGCAGGAGGCTGGAGAAGCTACATGTGAGGAGGAGGATGAGGGTTCTTCGAACGCCATCTCTGTTACCGGTTGTGAAAACATCTAGAGCCAGATAACCAACATCCTCGAGGCTCCGTTTTATTGCAATCAATGGAAATAGCATCCTGGACATTGAGGAAGATTATGTGTGTGTGTTGGGGGGGCAACAGCCACATAAAAACAAAAGCAGAGGTTACATGAACAGATACTTGCAAAAGATATACAACATTTAATGGTCAACTATATGTGGCTGAAAGTTTCTGTCAAATTTCTATTCTGAATTTGAAAATGCTGGACATATGATAACAGATGTAATGAGATCATTAAGTACGTACCTGCGCTGCAGAGCTGGACATCTATTCTTATGTGTGCAGTTCGCAGGCTCCTTAAATACGGATAAAACAGGAACTGTCCTCCCCCTGAAACCTCAGCCATTCGTCATTTGTCAGTCATCCCTATTTTTTAACCAAAAGCAGAAGCAACCAGAGGGCTGATATGAGGCCGGAATTGGACAGTGTGTGAGACTTTATTGAAGATTGCAAGGTTGCATGCCACTCATGGATGAATGAGTTTAGATGCTGTATATGCACCTTAAAGGGACAGTTCACCCCAAAATCTAAAATACATGTTTTTTCCTATTGCCTGCAGTGGTATTAATCATTATAGACCAGGGGTGCCCAATACGTCGATCGCGGAGGTAGTGCGGGTAGATCGCATGCCATTCAAAAAAAATGATATGTCCGTATGCCACTTGATTTTCTAACACACGGGTCACCACGTATGCGCGGGTCAACCGCGCGAGCTACTGCAAAACTCCAGCGAGCTAATTAATTAGCCTTCCAATTTATTTCTACTAAAGAAGCTAAAGCTGTAGCGCCATGATTTGGGAAACTTCCAAAACATTTGAAGTGTGCTTGAGGCGGGCTACCAGCAGCTACTGTCCGGACTATGCAACTCTGGCCAATCCCATTCAGTGCAAGTCATCAGAGTAAAGTAATGAGCAAAAATGTACAGAATTGTATTGTATTGTGTTCATAAGGGTTCATGCAGTTATGCAAGGTACGCCAACATATGTGTGTATACAGACATACAGACATATACATATATATATATTTACATACATACATATATATATATTTACATACATACATACATATATATATTTACATACATACATACATACATACATATATATATATTTACATACATACATACATATTTACATACATATTTACATACATACATACATATTTACATACATACATATATATTTACATACATACATATATATTTACATACATACAGTTGCTGGTCATATAATTAGAATATCATCAAAAAGTTGATTTATTTCACTAATTCCATTCAAAAAGTGAAACTTGTCTATTATATTCATTCATTACACACAGACTGATATATTTCAAATGTTTATTTCTTTTAATTTTGATGATTATAACTGACAACTAAGGAAAATCCCAAATTCAGTATCTCAGAAAATTTGAATATTACTTAAGACCAATACAAAGAAAGGATTTTTAGAAATCTTGGCCAACTGAAAAGTATGAACATGAAAAGTTTGACGGGAAATATATGATTGGCTGAGGGAGGCCGTGGCGAAATCGCCCACTGTCAGCTGATAGAGTAGGAGCCAGAGAGCGAGAGCCAGAGAGATGTGTGAGTGAATGAGAGCATAACAAGACTGTCCTAATGTAGGAGGTTAGAGTAAATCCCCAAACTTTACATAGTTTATAATCATACAGTTGTAAATGAATTAATACTATATTTCAAAATATCACTCCTCTAAGCAAAGCTCTCTAAGTTGTACTGTACTTTACTCTCAGTAAATAATCAATGCTAACAATTTCATATTCAAGGAGGGATTTGGTAATCCTTAAATTATTATAGTGGCACCAAACATACTAAGCTAAATTATGAAAAGTGCTAACGGACAAAATCTATTCTGAATCCAAAGTTACAGGTCAGATATGCTACTGGTTTACACGACAGGAGTTTGGTGAGAGTATATTACCCCATCATCGTACACCGGACACCGGAAGTACCCTAACGCATGTTGGCATATGATTTGAAGACTGGCCATCCCCTTTTTTGATACTATTGAAACAGCAGCCCAACACAGCGACATGTCACCGTACAGGACTCTCACTCAGGAGATACGTGACTGTCTCTCCCCGACAGTTCACGCTCACTGTCACGATCAGGGCAACCGGGGATATTACTCTTGCATATGTCACAACTACGTTAGAGGCACGACCAGTGTCCAGATATAACGATGATCCATAGAAGCCTGTGAGAGAATGAGAGCATACAAACACTGTCCTAATGTAGGAGGTTAGAGTAAATCCCAACATCTTACACAGTTAATTATTTTACAACTGTATGATTATAAATACTATATGTCAAAATATCACTCCTCCATGCAAAGCTCTAAGTTTTACTGTACTTAACTCTCAGTAAATAATCAATGCTAACAATTTGATATTCAAGGGGGGATTTGGTAATCCTTAAATTATTATAGTGGCACCAAACATACTAAGCTAAATTACGAAAAATGCTAACGGACAAAATCTATTCTGAATCCAAAGTTACAGGTCAGATATGCTACTGGTTTACACGACAGGAGTTTGGTGCCAGTATCTTACCACAGCAGCCTACATCGTCACACCGGAAGCCTGAAGTGAGCTCTGAGGCAGACTGGCACGCAGGCTTCCTGCCCCCTGGTAGCATTGAAGACTGGCCGACCATCTTTACACTCTGCAGGACACTCCCCAATCTACTCAACACAATGAGCATGTATCTGCTAACATGATGGGACAACACCCGACTGAAATTGGTTGAAAAGCTTGTAAGTTCATCAGTCAATTAGCCAGATGATAGACCTTCACCTCAACAGAAGTTCACCATCCCAGCATAACTGAGATGGGTGGGGAGCCCCCCCAGGAAGCCTGACCACAGCCGAATGAAATAACTTTAGAAATCATTAGCGCCATGCTTTGTCGTCAGACGCAGCATGCTGACTGTGCAGATGCTATGACCAGTGGTTTTGCTGCGGCCTGCCTCAGAGCTTTCCAGGTGTCTTCTGTGGAGTTGTTGAAGACAGTAGGGGCAGATTGAAGATCTAGATGACGGCATGTTTGAGTGGGACTGACCTCAGTGGAAGAAACCTTGAGCACCGATGTGATGATGAACGGGGAGGAGGGTCACATCGGTTTGTACTGAAATGACAGCTGACTGCACAGAAGAGAACAGGTCTTTAAAGTTTGACGGGAAATATATGATTGGCTGAGGGAGGCCGTGTAAGCTTCGGCTTACTGAGAATGTAGGTCAGTGGGTTGTTGTCAGTCCATGCAGTGAATGTGTGACCTTTCAACCAGTGGCTGAACTTATCACAAACAGCCCATTTGAGCGCTAGAAACTCTAGCCTGTGAGCTGGATAGCGTGACTGGGCATAGTTGAGAGATTTGCTGGCGAACGCCACTGGTCGTGCAACGTCATCGTCCTCAGCCAGTTGAGACAACACAGCCCCAAGGCCATTGGATGAGGCATCAACAGACAGCAGGAAAGGCATACTGAATTCGGGATGAGCTAAGGTAGCATTATCCAGCAGAGCCTGTTTCACCTTATTGAAAGCGTCACTGCATTCAGGGGTCCAGTCAGCCAAAGCTAACTTCCTAGCCACAGGTGATCTCTTTTTACCCTTGGCATATCGTGGCTTCTTCACACCAGACGTCAAGGCAAAGAGAGGCTTGCTGACACTCGAGTATCCTTCGAAGAACTTTTGGTAAAAACCAACCATACCAAGGAACGATCTTATTTTGGATGGAGAGGGAATGTTGGTGCTCTCATCCATCAAATCCTTCTCACTCAGTGCAACGATGGCCTTGACCTTCTCGGTCAGTGGAGATGCCATCCTTACTCACAATATGCCCCAGGAACTTCACAGACGGTCGCATCAAGTGGCACTTCTTTGGCGCTAGCTTCAGGTTGTGCGCCTTTGGCTTCTCAAACACCATTTCCAGCCTCTGCAAAGCTAACTGTTCGTTGGGAGCAAAGACAAGAATGTCATCCAGGTAACACAAGAGGCTCAAGAAGTTTTGATCAACGAAGATGGCCATCATCATCCTCATGAAAGTGGCTGGGCTGTTGCATAGTCCCTGCGGAAGCCTGTTGTACTCGTACAGTCCAAAAGGAGACGTGAATGCGGTGAACTTCTTATCCTCCTCATGGACTTCCACATAGTAGCCAGAGGTCAAGTTCATGGTTGAGAAGAAAGCGTTCCCCCCAAGCGCAGCCAAAGCATCTGCCTGGTGTGGCAAGGGATGCGCATCCTTCACAGTGCGTGCAGCCAACGAAAGTCTGTGCAAAGCCACAGATCTCCGTTCTTTTTCCAAACAAGAACAAGCGGTGACGCGTACTCACTTGCAGACTTCCTTATGATCTCTTGTTCCTCCATTTCATTCAAAGCCATTCTCAATTTATCATAGTGTGAAGGAGACAGACGACGATAAGGCAGTCTGAAGGGTTTGCTGTCACTCAGTCGAATCCGGTGGACAAAGTCTTTGGCCTTTCCACAGTCCAAACTGTGGCGGGAAAAGATGGACTCATACTTGGCCAACAGATCAACCAGCTTCACCTTCCAGAATGGGGACAGGTCACTTGAGTCAACGTCAATGTCCTGCAGTCCTAAGTCGTGGAGCACAGAGCTGCCAGATCTGTGTGTAGAATGCTCTGAGTCAACAGTCAGACTCTTCTCACTGCCGGTGTCAGCTTGGTCAACAGTCTTAGTCACATTGCATTTCACGTTGTCAGTTTGGTCTTTTTCATACAAGTAGTCGGTGTCAAAGTCCTCAAGTGCCACACAGGGGAACACGTCAGCAATCTTGCAGTTGCGTCTCAAAGTCACTGGCTTATTGGAAGGGTTAATGACTCTCACTGGAATCCATCCGTCTCCCCACAATGGAGTCACAATCCGTCCCACCATAACTGTTTTTGGCACTGTACGTGAATCACTTGGTTCCACAATGACTGTGCTGCCAGCCGAGAGGCACTTATGGCTAGGCAGACGACCCCACACCAAATGTTCTTTAAAGGGCTCCAGGGTCACAGCGTGTTTAAGTTTAACAGTGCCCACCTTGTCAGGAATCTCACCACCCCTCCATTTCTCTTGTGGTCAACATCTACATCAGGGCCTTCTCATCACTCGACGCTTGATCTGAAAGTGAAACTTTCTCCCAGAAATCTCCAGAAGTCTTCAGCGCCCGAATGAGATGTTTTATGAAGTTGCTTCCAAGAATCAAGTCATCGCTTTGACCATCCACAATGAGTGTGGGAACCGAGATGAGACAGTCAAACACTTTCATCTGAAGCTCACACACTCCGACGGGGGACGTCCTCAACCCTCCACATCCAATCAGAACAACCGATGTGGGAGAGATAGAATCAGGAGAAACAATATTGGCCCTTTCCAGTAAAGGAAGCACACGTGAACTCAGAGAACAGGCCATTGAGCCGCTGTCTAGCATGGCACGCAGCTCCAGAGCATCTTGGATTGTTACACCAGTGTAGAAAAGGTCATCTGTTGCAGCCAGTCTGTGTGTTTTGAAATACCACTGTGGATTTGCAATCTGTTGAGGCACAGAACTGAGAGTAAACAGATTCACGGTCAACATCATCAATTGGGGACATTTTGTCTGGCCCTCCACAAGTCCCCTCCTTGCATGGGCCAGCTAGTTTTCCTGCTGTGTAGGGGCGTCAGATCGAACAGCAGGTGAGTCAGGACCAGGGGTAACAGAACAAGTCACTGCTTGATGTCCAGGAGCATGACAGCGAAAGCATAGACGTTCATTCCGACAGTGGGACACAGTGTCATGGTCGTCGCTGCCACAAATGACACACGGACCCCTAAACCTGGTGCGATTGCCATTCCTGGGTCTCGGCGGCCTGGAACGCTGAGAGAACTCTTGATTTAACAAGCGCTCCAGGAGAGTGATAACATGCTCAAGGGACTGACCATCACTTGGAAAGGGCCTAGCAGCTGCAGTTGGTTGAGGAGCAGGATGGCTCTCTGCTGTTTGAACATGGCTGTGCAGAACATCCGCTGCCTGGGCGGATTGTAAACCACTGACTGGGCGTGTGGGCTGACGCTGCTGGAGACGCTTCTTACGGTGATGTTCATCCAGCCGGACTTGAACATCAGTGGTTGTCCAGTCCTCAAGCGGCTTGCAGCTGAAGACTAGCGACAGTTCAGGATCAGGACAGTGAGTGATGAACATGACCGTTACTTCATGGAAGGGGTTGTCAAGTGTCTTGTCTTTTTAGTCCCTCGACAGCAGTGTCAATGGCTTTGTTAAGCCGAATCCAGTAGTTGACAGCAGTCTCAGTGGGGAATGGCTTGGTGTCATAAAAGTCGGCTAGAGGGATAAAGTATGTCAAAAATGGGACGAGGGCCTGACTAAGTTTAAAGATGGTTTGCTACGTAGCCCAACTTTCACAACATCACTCGACCTCCCTCGCAGCTTGCTTAATACTTCCTCTGCCTGTTCAGATACCTCAATGCCCCTCCTAACCAGATACACTTTGACAAAGTCCTCCCACTCAGAAAATGAAATTTTGTCAGTTCCGTCCCCCCCGAAAGGATTTGGCTCATAACTGTGGTTGCTCACTTTTAGGTTAACCTTGGAGAGATCAGCAATGGTGGAACGAGCCACACTGACATCATTAGCTGAATTTGACTTAAGACATGAGACAATATTCTCTCCAATACTGGTCCCCATCTGCTTCACTAAGTCACTGAGAACATCCACTGGGACATGCTCCACATCTTGACCCACAGAAGGTGCAGACTGCTCACTCGATCCGACATCAGCAGCCGCATATGTGTCATCACATTTACTCTGAATCACCATAGGATGATGAGGGGTAGATGTTACAGGCTGTCTCTCCCTAAGCCCACCCACGGTCGGTAATGGTGAGTCAAACCACAAACCCCGACCAATACCAAACAAATCAGGCCTGTCCATTGGTAGTGAAAAGCATAAAACTCAAAAATGTGTAAATTGAGAAAATAAATATATATATATATACATACATACACACATATATATACATACATACACACACACACACACACACTCTAGGCTCACAAACAAAAATAAATATCACTTCAAAATTTGAAAACTTCTAAACATGTCCAGGAAAAAAACGAGTGGGAAAAGAAAATAAATTCACAATTTCACTAGCAGCAAGCAGGATACTAGACCTTGAAACTACAAGCTCATATGCCGGCTGACACGCTACATTGACACGATACCTTGACACCTTGACACGATAACGCGGTCAAAAACTGTTAGCTTCTCATTACCAGGTCCTTACCTATATGCACTTTAGGTCAATGTGCCACCTACTGTTCAATTAACCTGTGGTACTCAGTTAAGGTGGCAATATGCATTTGAATAAATGGATCAACGGATCGAAAGCCAGGCAGCGCATTGGTCAGTGAAATGTTTGTGGAACACGCGTCCGAACAAGTTCTCCCGTTCGCTCCCCAGTGGCTTTAAGATATAAAATGGATATATGTTAAATTCACTACATTAAGTCAAAAACTGTTAGCTTCCCGTCCACACACACCTGATTCTCATTACCAGGCCCTTACCTATATGCACTTTAGGTCAATGTGCCACCCACTGTTCAATGTCAGAACTGCATGTGTAAACCCACCCCATGTTTCCCTTAAAGACAAAATAAAACAACAAAACCACATTATGGCTCCAACAGTAAGTGAGAAAGAAAAGTTAAAGTGAGTTGCAGGTGTGCACACTGATGTCTTAGCTAATTGTCACCGATATGTTAGCTACAGAAGCTGACCATAAAGTAGCACTTTGTTGTGCAATAACGTCACACTCAGTTGCAAACTTGTTAGCGACACCAAGCTAATGCAGTCTAATATAACACAGCCTGGATACATCAACACATCTACTTAACAGTTTAAAGATGAACTGAGCACTATAAAGTACACAAAGGGAGGATTCAATGCAGGACTGTTGAGTGTCTGTTGCTTTTATATTTGAATGAGCAATGTGAGTCATTTGAGTTTGTCAGCTTGGTAGATTGTCTTCATGCCGAGCTTAGTGGCTTCTAAGGACCCAAGAAAAGGTCTTAAATCATATATTAAAAGAAAAGATATTTGACACATTAAATTGATAGATTTTAAATTTACTTTAGCATAAAGTCCCTCCAAATATGACAGAAGGATGGAGGCATTAAGGCAAGTTGTATCTCACTAACTCATGTGACATAATCCCATCTGTGTTTCTGCCTAGCTGAACTGATTGAAAACATGGATAAGAAAGCAACCTGGGACCGCTTCTACACTGAGAGCAGCAGCAGCACAAACACCTTCAAACACTTTGAGTGGTTCTTTGGCTTCGATGCTGTCCGGGACTTCATTATGCCCCTATTGCAGACCAAGCCCCACCCAGACGGTTTGCTCCAAGTCCTGGATATGGGCTGTGGCACTTCTGCTTTAGGGCCCTGTATTTACAGACACTCTCCTCTCCCGGTCCGGGTCACTTGCGCAGACATTTCCCCCATAGCTGTGCGACTAATGCAGGAACACGTCCAAACCAAAGCCATTCAACCTCACAATCTTTCCTCTCGGCTTGAGTTCGTAGAGCTGGACTGCACACAGCTCCACAAGCACTAGGGTTGTAGCAGTGTGGACCTTATAGTTGATAAGGGCACCACAGACGCCTTGTTGAGGTCTACGGAAGGGAAATGGAAGGCCAATCAGGTGCTGAAGCAGTGTTTGAAGGTGTTGCGGAGCTCAGGGTCTCTGCTCCAGTTCTCTGATGAAGGCCCTGATGCCAGGCTGCTGTGGCTGGAGACGGAGGCACAGGAGCCGGGGGTGATGGCAGCAGATGTTGGGGTGCAGGAGGTTGGGGAGCTAAGGGGAATGACTTACTACTGCTACCAAGTGACTCCTCGCTCTATTGTATAGCAACTTTCTTCATCTGGATGGTGGTAATATTAAATGAGTAAACTACTGAACTGATTGTAAAAAGTAATTGATCAGGTACACAGACAAAGGGTGACTTATCCACCAAACTGGACCTCCACAGTCCGACAGCAGAGACAACAAGAGATTTACTACTTATAAAATAACCTGAAGGTAAAGAATGGCCTCTTTATGAAATGATAAAAGTTGACAAACCACTTAATGTTTAGATCGTGTTGGTGAGTTGTCTAGTTTTTCAGATACATTATCTGTAGAGATGTCTGTCTTCTCTCCAATATAATGGAAATATGCGGCACAAACGCCCAAAACTACATTTGAAAACCTCAACACTCTCTTTCCAGAAATCTTGACCTGGTTATTGAAAATAATCCACAGATCTTGCTGTGAGCAGTTTCATGTAGGAAATAGGGTTGAAAGAAAATAGTTCCTAGCTGCTCACAAGGACACCTTTTTAAAAGAAAGGACATTTTACTTAATTAAGGTAATATATGATGGGATGTTGGCACAGTTCAGGCCGTCACATTGATTGAGAAACTATGTTGAAACACAAAGAGGGTTGTGCAGTAAAACAAATTGTTTAAAGTAACATTTTTTTATGTTAATTTACTTTATATAATATATATGAAGTATTCACAAATAAACTGTTTTTTTATCGCTTTTATACTTTTGGAGATAAATAAATGATAAAATTCTTCCTCCAATAAACCCTGCGGATCTCAAGATTTCAAAATTGATCTGCTATCTTATATTATTGTCATATCTTATAATGTTTAAAGATAGATACTCCAAGCTCTACTAGAATAGATACTGTTACCACTTGTAAAGATTGTATACAGTTATTCTCATTTCTATACTTGTCGTAAGGCAAGAGCCTGGAATGTGCTCAAATCAGGGAGTGAAAAAGTAAAACAACACGTTCTGGTGTCATCAAGGTAATATGATATGTTGTTGCAAAGTAATGTCCCATTCGTATTAATACCATCGAGCCCCCTTAGGTCAGTTGGGTCCCTGAGGGTTCAGGGTTCAAGGCTTTAAGGAGTTCATTTGTCTGTTTTGTTGCTTCTCTGAGGAAAGTCATACGGTGTTGGGGGAGGAGCAGACAAGATGAGGTGAGGGGAGGTGGACCTGAAAAACACTACCGTCTGTGCACAGCTGGAAACTACAGTCAAATAATATGATTTTGATATTTCAATGACTGTTTGTCGTTAATATATATTTTCTTGCATGTCTTTCCTCCACCGCTTGAGGAGCAGCTGGAGAACCACAGGGAGGCTCATCAGAAGCAGCTCAGCCTCCGAGAGCAGATTTAAAAGAAGCAGAGGAAGAAAACACCAGGGATCATTGTTTAGATGCTTTCATCTTTGTTTCTGTATGTATAGTAGGCCATGAAAATGTCTTAATATCGTCTTTCATAACAAATGTCATGAAAATATAATGTAATTTGTCATAAAAAAATGTCAAAAGATGCCATAGTATAGCATGGCAGACAGATGTCATGGTGAATCTCATAGTATAGTTATTAACTGTCTCGTAGTTTGATTCATTTAATTGAATGATTCATAATTGATATGTTATACAAGTAACATTGATACTGGTTTATTGGGCTGCTCCAAAAAAAATCACAATTACGATTTATTTCGTCAATACTGAGCTCACAATTATTTAACACAATTACTTATTAACTTAACTTATTAACTTTGGAAACATCACGCATTTAGAAAACAAAATGTAGCCTACGTTAAGTTAAATACATCAATCTGGTGCACTTTGAAAGCTGAACTAAAAGGCTAAATCTATTAAAAACTATTTCTGCTTCAGTAAAACAATCTAATCAAACGTATTGGTTGTATAGGTCATCGTGGTTATGGCACAGCAAAGTATAGTATGTTGAAAACGTCATGAGAAGTCATTGTTTAGTATGTCAAAAAATTCACAGTACAGTATAAAGTCATCTTAAAGTATGTTGAAAAAGTCATGAAAAAGTCATAGTATCGTATGTCAAAAAAATGTGTTGTATAGTATTTCGAAAAATGTCATAGTATATTGTATGTTGAAAAAATGTCATATTCTATTTTGGCGAAAAAAAGTCATAATAAGGTATGTCGTAAAAAGTCACAGTATAGTATGTCAAAAAAAGTCATTATACAGTATATCTGCATATGAATGTCAGAGTGCGCAGCTGGTCCAGCCTCACATCCCGCCCTCTACACGCTCACATTCAACCATAAACGGTCGATGCAAAGCACCTCATGGATGCTGATGCATAGAAATAAGCTGCTGATCAGAGGCTGTTTACGGTGAATCACAGAGAACACCGAGAGGAAGAACAAGAAAAGATTTTTATTGTTTTGCCACAGAAATCCAAGTGCTCGTGGATGAGATGATCCCTGAACACTCGTTCTCTCCCAATTCTCCCATTGACGCAGTCCTAACAGTACCAGAGCATCTACGGTGCAGCATTACACATCACCAGTCTCACTGTAGTATTTATATGTTCACAGCAGTCAGACCGATCGCTTCCAAAATGATCGCGACAATCAGTGGTCTGCACCACCCTGGATATAAGCATGAGAGGTGAACGCTATTTATTCATTGATGTTTTCTCATGGCATCATGAGCAGGACTGATAATGAGCATATGGAGGTGATCGTACGAGAGCTTTCACTGACTTTATGTCTAGACTTTGCTACTTTACAGGATCCTCATCATGCGCAGGTGTTGAAGGTTTGCGAGGTGAGGTGATGGAGAAGGTGTGTGACATCACCATGGTTACTCCTCTGCTGCAGAGAGCCGATACTCTCATCAGACAGCTGTTTACACTTTGTCTGTGTACAGTAGGCTGTATCTGTCACTATGGAATAAACCAGGCTGTGTTCACTGCAGCGATTTTACTCACAAACACTCAATGAAAACTAAAATCGTACTTGGTGATTATTGATAAATATTGACGCTCTGTTCTGCAATTGTGTAAGTGATATTAACGTGTGCGTGGGAAGTGGCGTACGGCTCTTTCAGACCCCGTTTTGTGCACAACGGTTATAAATCAGACCCCATGGGGGGATAAAGTATCCTATAGGTTGCATTATGGGAATTGTAGGATCCAGGGTTTTTGACGCTTGACCCATACTGATGACTTAGTCAGGATTTGTCCTGCTTGTTCTGCAGTTTCTATAGGAAGCGTGTCACACTCTTGCGTGCGTGTGTGTTACTCTTATCACCACCCAACTCTTGGCATCAGTGTAATATCAATTTTTTTTATTTTTAATTTGAAAAATAACTTACATAAATCTCTGTACTCAACCATACTTAACCAAGACATAGCCTTGGCATTAACACATTGCACCAAAAAGAGAAAATGAAAAGGCATTCAAAAGGATAAATAACATATGTGTTTGTCATCATGTGAGGCATTCTTCCTGTTCCAAACGAGTCTGTCGATCTATTCATGGTAGCTTGTTGATTCAGATTGTGACATCTGAAGGTATGTACAATGGAAATCAAAATGAAAATATATACTGTAGCTTGTGACAGCTTGTGACGAGGTTTCCTTGGACATTAAAACGCGTCATCGTCGTATGGAAAAGGAATAATGCCTCGGGTCAATTTCATTCAGACATACTGCAACTATAAGATTCATATACTTCCCAGACATGAGAAGTATTTTATAATTACTAAAAATAGAAAATAAAAAATAAACTGGTGTTGGCTTTTAAATAAAACTAACAAAAATATAGTAAAATTAATTTCATTTTCATTAAAATAAGAAAAAACATTTTCTGTGGCAATATCCCTTGTTATTTGAACTTGTGATGAGCTCATCTTCACAAACAGTGGCTGTAAAATTCAACCGCAGCAGCACACGTCTCCTGCATGTCTGCTGCCTCTTGATTAGGTGTCGACCTCTTGCTGTACCAATACAGATTATTTTTGCATGTTCGTCAACAATACTGAAATAAAATACACTTGCAATCACAACTGTTTTTCGTCAACCTCCATTTAAATATAAAATATTTTCCTTGTCACTTTTTTTTCTCAAAAACCTGAAAGAAAACATGACCTTTGGGGGGGGGGGGGGGTGGAATGTTTTTGTTGAAACTTCAATAATTGGCCGCTGAAGACCGAGAACTAATTTGTCGTAGAGTTCAATTTAAGGTGAGGGAGAAAAGTATTGAAGTTGACATGCACTGTACAAGAAACTGCAAAAATTCCAAATATCATCTTTATCAAAACATGCTGAGTTACTGTAAGGTGTGCCCAAGCCATGTTGCAGAAAATCCTTTTTCAACATGCTTGTTAAACAAATCAAATCCAAAAATAAAATACAGACTGAAACAATACAGAACTGTAAAAGAACCAACAGTCCTAAAATCTGGACAATATCAGGGGACCGAACGATGGTAGCAATGAATAGTACAATGAGAAGTACCCTGGGACAAGGAAGAAAAAGAGAAAGATGTACAATTTGCACATAATGTTTATCTTTATAAGGCATAAGCCTTTTACAATGAAATAAATAACTTACATTTATTTTCATTATCACTTTTTGTCACATAAACATTTTTTCTGTTAAATAGCTCCAAAAGTTTCCTTTAAGTTTCCCTTACGTCTGCTAAACACAGACTCATGAATGGTCCAAAGAATGATTAACAATGTCTTCTTTTTTTTAATCACGATGTTGCATTCACTCCCCTTGAAAACCATGCACTAGTGAGATTTATCTTTAAAAATAATATAAATTGTTGAAAAATGGCTGATCTGTTTTATTTTTCATCTTTTATGCAAGTTGCAGCCTCAAGAAAATAATTTTCTTTCTTTTTTTTTTTTTTAAATTCAGCTAAATTTGTGTCCATGCAAATGAACTAAAAGGGAAAAAAATATTTTTTTCTCATTTAATTTTCATACAATATATCAACAGAGAAAGAATGATGGTGGGTTTTACATCTTTTAATGGGGTTTGGATTGTTACTGCATATTCTGGAGTGTTGATGGTAGCCACTTCAATATTGCCTCTGATTAACTTTGAAGTCTTTCTGGTGATCTACCAGTATACGGTTGTGTTCAGTACATGAACCGAGAGTATGCAGGGCATTTCTTTTGGGGTGTGGGGGGAGTGTGGATACAAGCTGGGACACACCTCACCCAAAGTGATGGTCTCCAAAACTCCATCTACACAGCTAGGTCTGTTGGCGTGGCGTGACCGAGCATCTGGTTTGAAACACTGTCACCCCTTTCAGATACAAGAACATTGACTCTAAAAAAAGAAACAAAAGAACAGAAAAGAAAGGAAAGAAAAGAAAAACATTTATTTTTCATTCGAAAAGGGCTTCTGTAGAACTCGTTTAGCGGTTCCCAGTACTGACCCCCATGGCTTCGAATTGGATGAAAACCTGGAACTGACGGATTCCTCGTGCTAAGGAGTTCATTCCAGCTTCCTCCAAACAACAACAACACCCGGCAATCCCGGCCGCCAGGCGCTTTGCGACACGCTTTCGCCCCACGTGCACAATGTGCGCAACGTTTTTGCTCAAAACACACAGATCACGTTTTGCACCCCTAGAAACAGGCTCAGAAGACACAACATCAAGCATGCAGTGTAACCGGGGGGCGTGACCTGTAGTCGCAACACTGGCTGCTACAACAACGCTATCAGTCCACACGCTGCTATGATCGAGAGAAGCTGTCCAGTGACGATTGGGAAGCTCTTCTTGTCAGTGGGGCCAGAGTAGGGTCCACCAGTGAGGAAGGAGGAAAGAGCTTAAACCAGCCAATCACCATGTTGGACAGGTCCAGCTCATCTAACAGTATCTGAACTGCTCCCATGAATGATTTATGGTCCATGCGTCCATAGTCGCCCCAAACGATGACCTGCAGAGAAGGACACAGAAAAAGAAATGAATCAAAAGGAAGAGACCAAGTTGAAACAGGGACTGATGAAGTGGTTTTAGTGAGACCGGTGAATTCCTGTGAGACCTTCCTTACCTGTAAAACCTTTCCTCCTGGACTCTCCTCAAACGGCAGTTGCTGCTGGTAAAGAGGATCCAAGGTTTTTCTTGCTACTTTTGTTTTCTTTTTGGCTATGCAGACTCCGTTTTCCAAAAGGTAGACCTTTACATATGGTGCTGAGGAGAGAGGAAGAGCCAAGACATGTTACGCACAACCTCTGATTCTTATCCCTCAGCCCTGAAGGAACATGCAATTTCATCATATATCCGCGTGTACATTGAACTTAAGCAGGTGTGTAATTGCCTGTGATAATAACAGGTGTGAGAGCGTTAATTACCTGGCAGTGCCTTGGAACCTGGTTTTCCCACAAGGCCACGGGCTCTGATGATCTCCACCTCCAGTGCTCCTTTCTTATCCACCATACCGATCTGGATGTCTCCTGAATAACAAAAATACCTGAACTTTTAGCACACTACTGACTGATGTCTACCAGCATACATACGGTATAAGTATAAACAAGTTATTGAGGTATACTTACATATATTTTACAGTATATAAGGAATAAAATAATAGATCACTTGCAAGATTATTAACCTTACTTATTCAACATTTGAATGATTATTGTTCTCACCCATAGGGGGAGTAGCCAACGTCTGTCGTCCCACCAGCTGAGCGGGGCCGAGACCATCCAGGAAGTCACTGAACTGGGCGTCTGAGGAGAGCCTGACGCCGGGGAAGATGAGACTGAGAGAGAGAAAGACACACTGGTTACGGACATGTTGGCATGAGACAAAGCTGCAGCCCATTGAAAGTCATGAGGATTAGGAAGAGTGAAGCCCAATATGAGTCATCAAATCAAATAGTTGGCTGTGTACGTTCAAACTGCTCCCAGTACGATAAGTGTGCAGGAGCTCTTTCACTGATGAATATGCGTCTCCTTACTTTCCCTCGGAGCTGTAGCTGTTCATGCTGCCGTCCGTGGACTCCCGGCTGGCCTGCCGAGTCATCCTGCTCCTCATCTCCACCGCCAGGCCCGTCTCCGTACTCCTCTGGATCGTGCTGCGCAACTTCTTACCTCCCGCTTCTGCACACAGAACGACACACAGGAGAAGGAAGGAGAGAGGGAGGAAGAGGGGTGGAGACTGTCAATCCAGGACGTTGCATCGCTTTGTGACTCACACAGCGAGTTGCACTCACACGGATTATTACCGACATTCCTGCGCTTTCATCTGTTTATAGAGAATAAAATCGTTCTAGAGGGGAAACAAAACACAAAGAATGAAAATCAATCTCTACACCATGAAGTGCGTAGAGCTTATTCTGGCAAGGATCACTGTGACAATCAAACAAGGTGGCTAGTTCAACAAGCTCTACAGAGGTGTAAGCGTCGAACACCACGTGTGCAGCCCTCCTGTGGTCTGTGCTACCGACTGCCTACGAGGGTCTCGTCGGAGCCATAGTGAGTCCATGCTCCACCCATAAACATCCAGCGTAACCCCTCCCCACATCTTAACTGATCCAAGACGACAGCTGACTCCAACCATTAGCCCTGCTGCTGTTCATCTCCACCCAGCCTCCCTGACAGCGTGCGCATGGGGGGGCACGTGGCTGCGCTTTTGTGGCACACGCACACATACCTTAAAAAAAAAGTATGAACGCAACAAGCACACACACAACACATACACATAAAGAGATATTTGATATAAGCCATTTAGCTTTGGAAAACTAGAATAGATAGAAAGTACATCCATCCGTCCGTCGGTCTATCTAATATGTTATCACCCTGAAATATATCTATAATCTCCAAAATTAAAATCAGGCATGGCTATGATAAAAGACGAAATGTCATCGCAGCTATTACTGTTATGTTGTCTCATTTATCATATCTGTAATCAAATGAATGCTAACTGAGGGCATCGTGTTATTTCCCAGAGGTCAACTACTCACTGCACAGCCAGGCGGAGGTAATAACGCAGAGTTTACCGCCACTTCACTGTTTGCAAGCCCCAGGTGCAAAGTCATGACAAACAATGCATAGATATCCTTATGCCAGTCCGTCTTAGTCATATTGTTTGTATGGATGAATCACATCTAGACCATAGCAGCCCTAATCCAGCATCATCACGGGCCCTTTGTGGCTGTCTCCTCTCTCCCTCCTCATGTCAGAGGACAAGAGAGGTGTCCTATCTCTCACACGGCCATAAACACACATGAAGCCTTTCAGCCTTGAAATCTCCGTTATTCAGCCGGCCTCCGCCTCCTCTTCCTGCTCTCCACACTTTACAATAGGAGACGAAGCCGCAGAGGTCATCTCTGACGTCTGTAGCGAACCGCAGCTCGTAGACCTGGGCCAATCAGATGTTATCAATAGACATTCAAAACACACCGTTTTTTTACCGTTTTTGCTGCTTTGATGCGGAAATTATGAAATGCATTTGTTATTGTTTATACTGCTAATAAAAATCCCAGATATACCATTAATATGCTTACCATACTATCAATGAATCAGTGCTTTTATAAAATAACTTTACAAGAGTTGCTTCGACAAAAAACCATGTTCCCCTACATACGCACGTATGTGCATCTACATAGACACAAACACACACACACACAACTGCATTAAACGCAGTGGCAGATGAGCGTTATCAACACTGGTTGGAGAATGTGGCAGCCAAGCACTTCTGTATCTGGCATCATGAAGTAGCAGAGGCCTAAAAGTCAGACAGACTGGCTCGTCACCAGAAGGCCCCGCAGCCACTGCCCTCACATCTGGGCCTTGCCAGACCGCAAAACACAACGACCGGTGGAGAGCTGCTTGGTGGCCAAACAGTGGAAGTGTGAGTGCAAGTGTGTGTGCGTGAAACTGTGGCTAAAAAAAAGACGGTATGATCAGGCAAAAGTATGTAGAGCTATAAAAGTCCATGACCCCCCCCCCCCGCCACAAGAGGAAATGAAAGGAGCATAAATAAATACAAACACGCAGTAGGCGTCATCGCTTCTGTTCACACAGTCATAGAGCGATGTTGTATTCCTGAGCTAAATAAGCACCCTCGCCCACGAGATACCAAACAATGATTCAGTCCAGCTACTACATCCTTTGTTTTCATTCACAGAGCCAGATTTCAAATCATCAGGGGAAAATGAGATATTGTGAATAACATGAGTAGAATATATTGTCAGACTGATATAATCATCCATGTGAACACCACCACCGGCGGCAGTAACAACAGAAGAAGTATGTGTATTTCACAACACATCGAGAGCCTGGATGATAAATCGACTTCTCTGGAGATGCAGGCGCAGATATCAACTTTCACTTGATAATGTTACACACACCTCAAGCATCACATTATTATCCTAACTCAACTACACTGTCATCCTCATTTTTTTATAATTACATCTCTCAACCTTCCCCAAATCTCCTAACAATCAATCCCTCTGCATCCCCCCCCCCCCCCCAGCAGCTGCTGCTGGGACACTTCCCTAGATGTCATCTTACCTCCGTCCTCCTCATCGAAGGAGTTCATGCAGGGGAAATAGACGGCCAGCGCTTCGAACGATGCAGAGAGGCTCATCTTGCTCTGGGAGCGCTGGATACGCATCCCGGGGACCGCAGCAGAGGTATCATGCCCCTGCCTGCCCATGGTGACCGGCGGCCGTCCTTGTCAATGCGGTGAATCGAATGGAACGCACTCGGCGTCAGCTTTGCCTTCTCTGGCTGATCTTGCTGGCAAAAGGTTTAAAAATTGAACCTGTTTGATAAATTCCTAAGTCCAGCAATAAGAGACTCTATGCTGTGGAAGAGCAAATCTGTGCAATCGATCTGTGTAATCGTCAAGTCGGTGCCTAAATTCTCTGTCGGCTGCATCTCAGGGAGAGCTTCAGATGAACGTTGCTTCAGCAGCTGAGTCTTGCTCTGTCTGGGTCTGACGTTCCTACTGCACCTCTTTCTTCGGGGGGAGGGGAGAGAGCTGCATCGCGCATCACCAATCAGAGAGCCAGGCTGCTCAGGCGCACCTCGGCTGGCTCTGCGGGTAAACGAGCTCTACCCAGAGATACTGAGCCCCCCCCCCCCAGTTTGCTTCTCACCATTTATTTTAACCTCTTCCTTTATCATCTGCTTTCTCTTTTTGATTCCTCTGCCTGCTGTTTGGTTTATTTTGTGCTATTCATCAGCGTTATTTACCTTTTCTCTTCATGCCCTGTCCCATGCCTCCCTCTCCCCATCTTATCCACAAAGGCCAGTGAAAACCAGCTGTCATCAGGTCTGTCGGAGAGCTTCAGCCACATGGCAGTCACTCAACGTGCACGTGCCAAACTCCGCTACTTTATTTTTCTATTATCCAAAACTACCATTCCACAGCTGTGCTGTGTGACGGGAGGAATTCACTCTGCTTTTGCTGGCAGTTTTCAGAGTTGCTGAGAATGTGAAGTGGATGATTATATTCACATAACTCAATCTGTCTTCTCCCCACAGCCTCTGTGACACAGCTATGTTGTGTTACGAGAAACTAATTTCCCCTTGATCAATCACAAACCATACTTTCAAACAATGAAACGAGCTCTTTGTTTGATTTAGGGTGAAACTTATCTAAACAGGAAACTTTTTTCAGTCTATATACCATTTGACCACCCGAGGTCAGCCTTATTTAAACAATTCGAGAGCAGAAAGACACAACAGTGGGGCCAAGAGAAAAAGATTTCTTCACAGGTGGTCTGTGAAATACTGATAAATCTGCTACTGGCATGGTGTGTGAGGGGCACATAACCAATTATGGTGCTTTTGTTCTGAACATGTGTCTAGCATCATAGGCACAGGACAAGGCAAATGACAATAAGCCCTGCCCCCCCATCACTTCTCTGTTAGGCTTTCAGAGCTATCACGGAGCCCACACTGTCACTAACTGCACTCTGAAAAAAATATAATCAAATTTTTGGAAAAACAAAAGGGTACAATATGCTTTTTGAGGGATATGTCCAGGATGTCCAGCTGATTCAGCATTGAAAACAGGTTAAAAGATAAAAGCTAAAGCCTGAAGATCACAGCGTAAAAGTGAACCACCACGTCACCTGGTGATAACAAAATGAAATTGAGGAACGACATTATTCCTGTAAATCCGGGTGGGTCTTTATTCAGTCATTAAAAAGCAAAAGCAGCATGTGTATACATTCAGTATAGCTTCATCAGCTAGCGTAGCATAGAAGTGCTAACGCTAGTTAACTATGTACTAACGTACTCTGCTAATGTTAGCTCCACAGGTTTTATCGTAAAAAAGTAACGTTCTGAAGCGTATATCTCCGTCAAAGCTCTCTAGGGAACGAGTATCACTATTACACAGCGCTTAACCGTGACCAGCTCCAAATCCACAAAATCAGCCTGAAAATGAAGAAATGTGTTAGTTGTCGGATCTTGTTCAGAGCTGGCCGATGCCACTCTATGATTGGCCAGTCTGCGTTTGAGGGGCGGGATTAAGCAAAGGGTCAGCTACGGTGCTTCTCTGCACTATCATAGATATAGCAAACTAACTCCCTATAGTGTTCAAGCTGAGGCAAAAGTTCCACCCTGAGAGACACTGCAACCTACTTCCACAAAGAAGCCTCTCAATGCATGACGTCTATTTGCAGGTTTCATCCAGGTCAGCACAGACAAAAACAACACTTCACTTCAATGAGTAGCTGTAGGGGGAAATTGGACAAACACACAGTTACAATGCAAACAATTAGTCCATTTCTAATGGCTCCTCCAGAGTCTCGAGCTCACACTAACTCACACAGTGACACCTACAGATCGTGTATATTTAAATGAATGAAAAACAGCTCTTTTAAAGGAGAAGTTCTATCTTTGAGAGAATCACATGTATTTTGTTGTTGTTGTTTTTTAGCCATGCTGTCAGTGTGGCTCTAGAGATGTCATCCCGTTGCTCTGACGGTAGGTTAACCACTGAAATATGTCAACAACTATTGGGTGGATGACTATGTAACTTTATAAAGGCAGTCATGGCCCCCCCGAAGGATGAAGCTCACTGACTTTGGAAGTCCTGTGACTTTACTTTGTAGCTCCATCAGCAGGTTGTTTTGTTATTT